AAGGTCGCTGAACCTTCAGGGGATGATCATCTTAGGTCGCTTGTGAAGTTCACCGAGCCCACGTCGCGACCTCCACACAGTTCATTGGTCAAGTAAAATCGTGAACTTCGTGTTATTTCAGCCGTTCTCCACTTGCAGCTTCAGCAAGCGATCTTCGGGATGAGCCAAATCATAGCATAATCATGAAGTTCTCAAAGTTCAAGCCTTGAACCTTAAGAACTGGGGGGCTTCTATTATGCCTAAAAAAATAGGGCTGATTTAGGCTTACATCTGCAAGGACCAATCAGAGTTCAGGAAGGCATTATGTCATCCAGGCGCTGCCATGTTGTCCAAGGATAAAATGAGTAAGGTTGTCATCAGCTTGGCAGGTAAATGCCTGGCGAGTGAGTGGTTGGGAGTCACCCACTTGCCCAAACCCTGCGTGATTTAAGGATATTTTCCATGCAACCGACCAATTAGGAGCAAGGTAGGAATTGCACGGCACCTGCCCGCTGGCAAACCCATAATCATTACCTAGAAACCTCTTACTATAAATAGAGAGCTCCTCTCTCATTTTTCTGGATTCTAGTTTTGATAACATAAACACTCTCTCACTCTCTCTTTGTATTTCTGTTCTCTTAGATCGTTGCATGCGACTTAATTGTACTTTTTCATAAATAAAAAGACAATGGACATAGGATTCGCTTTGAGCATCTGAACCATTTTAAATACCATCTTCCTTTTCTTTGTTTCATTTTCCAGTTCACGTGTAATTTCTAAGTCCGCTTAGCACTTTGCACGTGCGAATAGTTTGTGTCAAAATTCAGTATCGGCACTTATAACCTTAAAAATACACATGATAAATATACTACTTCTAAAGGATCAAATAGATTGAGATTATTAACAGTATCAAAACTTATTTATTGCTTTAAATATACTAATGTTCATTTAATATTTTAAATTTGTCAAAAAATTTCTGTCAACGTTTAGGTGATGCTTCTTGCGTCATTCAAATTAACAAAACAACGTTATTAACGTTGATTAGCTGTTGAAAGAAAATTTTTTAGTCAAAATTATCGTCACAAAACAATATAACATTTCTTCTTTTAGCAATCAATGTCATCTTATTTAAGTGATTTATATTTTATGGTGAGTCGAATATTTATATTATTATTTTATATAAATTGTTAGACACTTTTATAGCTATTTGGGTTTTAATAGAAATAATAAAAATTAGATTTTATTAAAATAGTTAAAATTTAATATATATTATTTTCAAAGGGTTAAAAAATGAAAGAAAATTTGTGTAAGAAAAAGGGTTGTTGTATAACGTGATACAGATTCCTGTGCTGCGGGCCCACAGTCCCACTCTCTAGGAAAAGAAAGGGCAATATCGTCATTAAGAAACATTCGCTTCATGTTCCAGAATTCCACGCGCTTAAAATCCCACTTGACCAGGTCGCCAAGGCAGGACTTAGGACATGATATTATTAACGAAGGGTGGAGTTGATTTAGTTGAAGTTGAACTGGAGTCAAATCAGTCTTATATACCACGCGGTTAACAGAGCGCGTAATAGAACAGAAATTTATTTAGAAATAAATTTTTGAAGCCGTATATCCTGATTCCTGTGGCTTTACAAGTCCACAAATGTTCCTTTTCGTTTATTTCGTGGCCAACGTTTTTAATAACCTTGTGGGTTTCTACAAAGTTGACTTCTATTTCTATATCTCTTCTTACCCTTTCAATGTGCGCATTTTTTTTTTTATTCATTTTTTATTTCTTTTTAATTTATACATATTAGTATGAGTTAATTTGTATTTTAGTTTGGGATATAATTTCTAAGGGTACACAAGTTTACTGAATTATCAATTACAGAACACAAGTTTTAGAAGTATGAATATGAAGACACTTAACATTGTTTAACTGTTATATTTAATTGTATAATAAAAAATTACTTAAATGCCCCTAAATTTAAGAACAAATTAAATAAAAAAATTATTTGCATAAAAAATTATATATAAAAAAACTAAAAGACCTCTAAAACTGAAAAAAAAAATTAATAAAATTAAAATTAAATTTTATTCAGATAATTTGTTTGTTTAAACTTGTTTCTAAATTTTAGGGGTATTTATGTGATTTTATGATTACAATTGAATAAAACGTTAAAACACTGCCAAGTATCATTTGATAAATATTTCTGAAACTTGTATCTGCGTATTGATAATTTAGTGAGCTTCTATATCATCAGTGATAATATCCTTTTTAGGCTTATATCTCATTCATTTTACGTGTGTTTTTTTTTTAATTATTATTATTAAAAAATTGTGGAGAAGTTTGACTCTAGAGTATACTAAGTTATATGTTGTGTACTTGTCGTTTTAAAGACGACATTTAAAACAACAATGAATAAACCAATAATCACCCTTCACCCAAACAATGAATAAGGGATATTTGAGAGTTGTTAAATACTTGAAATTAACAATCTTGATGATGAAATTGACCCATTTACTTAAAACAAAGTTTCAGTCTTTTAAAGTTTTATCAAAACAATAATCTACTTTTTACCATTAGGAAAAATCTAAAATGTCATGGAAATACCACAAGTTAAATGTATTTATGTCACATATAAAAATTTTCACTGTCATGTATTTCTATAATTAATACGATTGGTGGTTGTTTAAATTGAATTTTTATGTGACATGAATTTATTATCATGCGATACTATTAATGTGATAACATAAGCTCTCTTTCAACAATAATATATACTTTAAAAAAAAATTACATTTAAGGCTTCATTTACTTTATTTTTATCTGATGGTTCTTAATAATTATGGTCTTTTGACATATGATTATTAGATAAATAAATAAAAATTGTTTAGATAAATCAATTTTTTTTTCACTTTATAATCAAACAATGGAAACTATTTTTTCTTTTTGTTAAATCAGATTCAGAATACAAAACCCCAATTGAGAATATTTGACTTGTTAAAAAAAAAAGAAAAAAAAAAAGAGAGAGAGATTTATTTAATTTTTAAATCTGAAATTTCTTTATAATAAATTTATTTCAAATATTGAAAATCATTCGATCAAATGTCAAGGAACTAAAATTGTTTAAAAAAAAAGAGATTTATTTTTCATTCCCAAAAGTCAGAATCTTAGATTCAAAAGTAATAAAAAGTCTCTGTTATCATTATAGAAATACAACCTTCTGTTTTTATAACAGATCAAGATAACATAACATAACATCATAAATAAATAAATAAATTATAATGTATTATATTGCAATCAAATTCTAGACAAATCCTAATGAAATTCTTTCCATCGTAATATCATGGTGATGTGGACTTTATACATGTTTTCTCAATAGTATTATCTTCTTAAGAATGATACAAATAAAAAAGTTTTCTTAGGTTATAAGGATTTTCTAGGTACTGATTCTAGGGTTTTCTTTTCTTAAGGTGTTACGCTCATTGGCTAAGATATCTATTACGCTCTCATGCTCAATGGTTGAGAATTTTATTCTTGTAATAAATTATATTATGTTTAAAAGTAACATTTCATTGGTTAACAATTCAATCGGTGGATTATCAATCATTTCGGATTAAAAGAAGTATAATATAATGTAAAATGAAAAGTTTGTTATTTAATACTAAATAAAATTGTAGGTTATTATATGGCTTACTTTAAATATATTACTTAAACAATTACTCTGCAAATTTTGGTTTGAAATATTTAAATGATTATTGATATAACACATGCCTGAAAAAAAGAACTTTTGTGCCAAAATTTAGTGATACTCCAGTGACTTTTAAATCAAACAATTGAATCAAAGGACATGTTGTTAGGTTTGTCGTTCGTGTTTGGTGGACCTAGTCGTTGGGTGGATGAAGCAAGGCTTGAACTTTGTTATCTTTTAGATATTGAATCTAAATTAAACTCAATAATAATAATAATAAATTCATTAATAATTTATTTAATGTAAGTAAGACAACAAATACTAAAACAAATAATTTAATAATTGTCTTATCCGAAGCCGGACTAACCTTTTTCGATCTAGGCTTCATCTAGCCCTGAATCAATCTTAACAATCAATCACAGGATCCACTTGATATCAAAAATCTTATACTTTTTCCATGGGTCCCCAAATTTTAATAATTAATAATAATAATAATTCTAAAATGGTAAAAACGTTTGAAAATCTTAATTAAATTGATGAGAACCCCATTAAATTTTGAAAATTGTCTCAAAAGCTAAGAATATTTAACGAAGTCTCTTAAAATTTATTTAAGAAATATTTTTTGATTTATGAAAAAATACGATTCAAATTCTTGAGTTGTATTTTAATATTTTAATTTTAAATGTTTTGATATAATATTTCAAAACTTTATTCATTATAAAAATCTATAAAAAACGTAAAAAGAACTTTTAATCATTTTATAATTTTACACTAATTTTTTTAAGATTGTATTTGAAAACGTAGTTAAAAAATAACTCACCAATTATTCCAAACATATTTCATAAAATTTATTATATTAATTGTTTTCAAAATAAAAAATTGTATTTAAATAGAATAAAACAATATTTCTTTTAATCTTATTCTATTCTACAGACCGAATGAATCAAATGGCCAATTTAAAATCAAGAGGCATGTATTCTTTCAAATCCAGAAAACAAAAATGGCCAATTGGAAAAGCGGAAAAATTATTCTTTGGTTGCTGCTAAAATCAAAGAACTTGGAGCAGTATCGGTTATTGTGTTTCCGAAACACAAAACAAAACTGGCGTCAAGCCATGACCTGTGAAGAAACTATGGGGCACAGTACGCGCTTGTAATGCCTTAGGTCTTCCATTTATATCCATCCAAATTTATTCATTATTAAAAAATTATATTAACCTCGCGGCTGCAACTTGCTCGTCTTGTTCAATCATTCTACTCTTCTTCTTCCCTTCTCGTCCTTGTCTCGATTTCTCCCTGATCAACAAACTAATAAATAATAAATTTATTTTAAAATATTGAGAGAGAGAAAGAGAGAGAAAATAATTCCATTTTTAAAATCTATTTTATTTATAAACAATTTCCACAAACAAACACGAAAACGAATCGTCCAAGGAATCGAAATCATCTGATACTTAATATTAATAGTTTTTATTTTATTTTATTTTATTTTTTAAACTAAATAATAAATAATATTTTTATTTTTATTTTTATTTAAATTCTCTCTCTTTCTTTCTCGGTCTTTTTATTATTAGTTAAGGTCTGGTTTTGTTGAGCCCTAGATCTTGAACACCAAATAAAGAAAGTTTCAGATTCAAGATCTTTAAATCGAAAGACTTCAAGTCTCTACCTCCCTTGATCGGATATCTGCTTCTCTTTCTCTTTCAGCTCAGGTATTCTTTTCTTAGTTATTTTCCCGGGAAACTAACGGAAAATGCATAACATTTGGAAATTCTGGCTGTGTTGACTCGGAATTACATTTAATTGAGTGTTCGTTTTGAATTTCGACTGGAATGAGTCTTTGGTTTGACTTTTATTATTAAGCTTTCTTTTTTCCTTTTTCGTTTCTTTTTGTTTTATAATTTTATTTGTGGCAAAATATATTTGGTTTGGTTTAAGTAGTTGTGTAAATCTTCAGCTTTCAATTCAATTCAAGAGTTGGCTTATTAACTTTCGTTTCCTTACGTTGAAATTTCGAAGCTTTTTCCTTTTTTTGTTAGGTATTATTGTTGTTTCTTCATCTGGGTTGACTCTTGAAATGGAAAATTTAATTTAATTTTCACGGGGGGTTATGCTTAAGATCTGATTTGGGAAGTTGAATGTTCTTGTTTCGATCCATAACTTTTATTAAATATTGTTTATTGTTTTTTTTTTTTAGAGGGGTTTTTAATTGATCCGTTAATGCTTTTCCAGTCTCAGATTATTGAACAATTATTAATTCTTTAGATGTAAAGAATTGCATTATGTGGAGGTAGATAGAGCTTGTGATATCTTTATGCTGAGTAAGATAAGATGAAGTCGGTTAAAGCATGGCGTGTAGGCAACATGGGGGATCTACAGATTTTGCCGGGGACTCGCCACCGTCCTCCATTGAAGAGGCCGGTGTGGATTATTGGGTTGGTCTCATTGGTTATTCTGTTTCTAGTTTGTGCTTACATATATCCACCCCATAGTCGCGGTGCCTGTTACATGTTCTCTTCTAGAGGTTGTGCCTTAACTGATTGGCTTCCACCAGTTCCGGTAAGGGAACTGACGGATGAAGAGATCGCATCTCGAGTTGTTATTAGGGATATTTTGAACACGCCTCCTGTTCGGTCCAAAAATTCTAAAATCGCTTTCCTATTCTTGACTCCTGGTCCATTGCCTTTTGAGATGCTATGGGATAAGTTTTTTCATGTAAGTGTTTCTTTCTTGTTTATTTGTTTATTTATTCCGTAAATTTGAATTGAATATGCATTTCCTTCTTGAATTTCTTGCTGTTGCTTCATGAACCAATAATGGCATGGAAGAAATTTGACCTCAAGTTGTGATCTATTGTAACAGTATACGAGTATGGAAGGTGCTTTTGCATTAAATGCAATTTGATTCATGTTAATATCTGCATGCTTATGTGTCTAACTTTTACAATTGACACATCTTCTGTGCTCAACTTGTGTATGACATTGTTGTTATATGCATATATTTGTTTTGCCAACTTTAACATTTTTAAAAATTGTCAAGTAGCCAGTATTCTTTTTGTTTGTCAATTCTCTTCCCAGACCCAAAATATTCGATGGATCATATTAGCTAGAGAGTCATTTATATCAGGGAGGTACTTATATATAACCATTATGATAGAGGTGATGAAATATTTAAATATTTTCTTGGAAACATATCCAAGTTGGAGTGAGTATAATAACTTTTTAGCATATTTTGAAATAGAAAATCAGTTACTTTTTAACATTACATTAAACTAGATATGTTCTAAAATAGTAATCCAGTTACTTTTAAATACATTAATTAAGATATGTTTTGAAACAGTAACAGATTTACTTTCTACATTACATTAAGCTAAGATATGTTACCAGTTGTGCTATATGTATTTAAAATTAGGTTGCCTATGTCTGCTGTTAAATCTAATTATTTCTTCTATTGGCTGGACATGTTAGAGAGCATATTTAAGTGCTGTAGGTTGTGGACCTTAGTTGGAAAACGTGTTTAGATTTGGATTGTGTGAGAATAATGATAAGCAGTTGAATACTTAGAAATCATTTCTTCATCAAGGGAATAATAGTTTTGATGGGCTTCTTGATGCTTTTTATTAATTACTGATGGTGACCGATGGGAAAAATGCCTTCTTATTCTGACTTGATGATGAAAAAGGGTCATTTGTTATATCTTTACTGTTGAGTAGTTTTGTGTTTGGTGAGGTCTAAGCTCCACTAGCGAATTGCTCAGTCAATTTCTTAAAAATGGCAAGACATTGGTGAGCCAGTGCTGGGATTTTATTACTTTGATTTGATATGTGGCAGAAGCTTCTTTTATGATACAGGCTTGTTCTATGCTAAGACCATATAATATTAAAGTGGTAATGTTGCCTCAATTGTAGAACAAATAGCTGTGGGTAGTGAGACAAGTTAAGTCAGGGATTTTGGTTGGTATGAAGGTTGGCAACTATGGTATAGGATCTATCTTTGTTGGCTACAGGGAGTTGTACGGTTTTGGTTGACATGAAAAGAGTGATGCTGGGATTTAGAACTCCATCTTCCTCTTCACTTTCTGGTTGTTTGTCTATGGAAAAATATTAACTTAGTTGTGAAAGGTAAAGTGTTGGCCTTCGAAGATTAATTACAAAATATTCAAACATGTTACGGACAATATAACTGCCATGTTTCATTTACGCATGCTAAGCTTATTTGTCCTGTTTATACATTCATACACGGTAAGCTTATTTGTGATGTCTACATGCCGTGGCAGTGAATTTTAACCTGTGATTTATTAATCTGAATTTTACTTGTTCTCGTAGCTCATTGATTTCAATTCTATGAAGCCTGTTCATTGTTGGTTCACTTGAAATTGTACCATTAAGTGAGTCTTTTTCCATATATTCTTGCAGGGTCATGAGGGTAGATTTTCAGTATATGTCCATGCATCGAGGGATAAACCAGTGCATTTTAGTCGATACTTCATTAATCGGGAAATACGGAGTGACCAGGTATGTAAATTAAATATGTAAGATAGTATTCTCTTATATTCTACCGTTATTTTTATTTTTTAATATTCTACCCTTTTGTTGCTTCCCTTCTTTTTCAAGAACTGATAAGCCCATTTGAACTATTTTAACAAAATTTTCTACATTATTTTTCGATGGCCCATCTAAAATAAGTACCAGTTTTTCAAAGCTACAAACCAATGCAAATTTTTCAGAAATTGCATTTCCTGTACATTCAATTTTCATATATCCACGTCTTGCTTGTTTTAGTCATGACCTAACAGGTTGTTCCTTCACCATTTCTGGTTCGCTGGTTCACTCTTTTCTGCCAATGTTATTGCTCAATATGGCAGATCATCAACTGTTGCAGCTGAATTTCTGTCAGCATTATCATATTCATTCTTAGATCTCATAAATTATATGTACTAAATATTCTGCAATTTGTTTGATATGTTTTCTCCTAACTTATGCCTGAGTTATGGGACTTCTGACAATGAGCCTTAGGTGACATGTTTAGTAGGAATTAAAGGTTCAGCTACTAGATTTGAAATGCTATTTCATTGTGGAGGATTGATTTTTATTCTCTTGCACATTTGTGGTACTGCATCCCATGGAACTCATTTGTAGGGTGAAGAATTATGTCATCTGGCAACCGTTGTAAAACTATCATCTCCCTTTAGGCCCTTTTTTGAAGCAGAAAATAATTGCTTTCAAAAGATTTAATCAAATATTAAAACTGACATCACTTTTAAAAGTACAGTTGGTCCAAGCATCTGCCTTCCCCGTTAAAGAGTAATTATTTTAGAATCATGACACTACCAAGTTGGCCCTGTCAATGAGCAAATGTTGGAAGAATGCTCTAGTTATTCTTGATGTGGAAAATCGTAATGAAAATTATCAACTCATTAAGGGCAAAATAACAATGCTTTTTTTTCTTCACTGCTTTTTTAAGTCTGGGCCTCTCTATATTGCATTAACAATTTACTTAAATCATTTAGGGATGAGAAGAGTTCAATAATAGATGTGCCGTTAAAAGTTTGATAATACTGATACTCTTATTATAGTAAGATTCACAGTGGTGGTATAACATATAAATAAGTCAATATTCTATCTTTTATAGTGTTTCTTGAACATATCTACTCAAATCTCAAAATATTTTGACCTCATATAATATTGTTCAAATTATTTATTATTATTATCTATCTTTGCTGTGGTGCGTAGATAATTTAATTTTCAAGTAAAAGCTTCTGTTGTCAAATTTCTGTTACTCTTCTTTATGTTGTTAATATTCGATGAAGTGAGTATCTATAAGCAGCTAAACCTGATATCTTCGTTTGGTTATATTTGTAGGTTGTCTGGGGAAGAATTTCAATGGTTGATGCAGAGAGAAGATTATTGGCAAATGCTCTCAAAGATCCTGATAATCAGCATTTTGTGTTACTTTCTGATAGGTGACTGGATTGTTGAGTACTTTGAGGGTTGTTTTTTGTTTTAACTTCAATGACTTTTGCTATCATCAATTGCTGAATCACTTTCTTGTATTTCAGTTGTGTACCCCTGCATGATTTTGACTATGTCTACAACTATCTGATGTACTCAAATATGAGCTTCATTGACTGGTATTGTTTTCTTATGTGATGTACTATTTTCTATTTACTTGTCTATTTTAAAGTTTTGTTTGTGTGGATGGTGAAACATTCATCTGAATCATGGTTGTGAGGAAATTGTTTTTCCTTATGGATGCACTCTTCATTCTCTTTTCAGCTTTGAGGATCCTGGTCCACATGGCAATGGCCGGTATTCTGAACACATGTTGCCGGAAGTTGAGATTAAAGACTTTAGAAAGGGTGCACAGGTATATTTTCATGGATATTATATAGAGTCTATGAATTTGTCTTTCAGTGCCTGTTAGTATTGTTTCTACTATGGTACATTATTGTCCCTGATTGTATGACTCTTAGTCCAACAGGTTTCCTTCTCTTTATACATGGGGGTATTGGGGGCAGTTAAGATAAAAAATGTTGTTACAATTTCAGCCTTTTTGATTGGCCATATAACATGCATTCCGTTTGACTTTGAACCAGTGGAAAGTCTGAGAATTCTAGTATGTGGTGTCATTGGTGAATTCTATTTTCCATTGGAAAGTCTGAGAATGCTAGTATCTGGTGTCATATGTCAATTGTATTTTCTTGCTTCCAAAGTCATTCAAACCCACAAATGGAAGTGCCAGATGGGTTGTTTAAGACATTTCAACATTCAGCTCCATTTATATGATTTTCTTCTGTACTCTTCTTTTGGTATATTTAACATGTAAATTTTCTGCAGTGGTTTACAATGAAGCGGCAGCATGCTCTCATAGTTATGGCTGACAGTCTTTACTACTCTAAATTCCGTGATTACTGCAAGGTAAAGTTAATTTTAAATGTGGTTGCTTTATGTTATCATTTGTCTTTGGTTTAAATTTTTATCATGTTGCTTAAGTTCTGATCTCATTGGACAAATTGCTGTCTGCTTCTGTGCTTCTCTAATCCAAGCCATTCTTGATATTTCTTGCCATAATTGCGATTCAATATCTGTGGTGTGTTTAATTTTTGCTATCAGCTTGAACTTATATATGTCATTAGACAACCATTTTTTTTTATTCATATCTGTCAGTTCCAATTTCTTTTGACATTATTTGATCAACTAATCTTATTGCATCGTTAAAATCTTGTGCCATGAATGTCTAAAAGCATTTTTTCTTTTTCTTATGTTCTACTATTCCTGGTTGTCTTCATGTGTCTGTACCATAACTTTCTGTAACTTTATATTGAGGAGAGCTTTAGGAGTGAGATCTAAGGGTTATAATCTTTTATTTCCATAGAAAAAAAAATATGGAATGTTTTCTCCCGATTTGTTGGTTCTACTTGTCTAGTCAACTAAAGGGAGAGAGACATTTTAGTTTTTAGGTGCTCATGAGTTGGATGGTGAACTTTTTTGAATATAACACAATTTGTGACATTTTATAGTGATCAAGTTTGATTCTTTTGTGAGTTTTAAGTTTCAGCATTTGCTGAGAATATAATAATTTTGTAATTTTATTAAGGGACACTCTTTATTGATGCTATGTTGTTGTCTTTATTGGTTATATGATGGTTGAGCTGGTATAATTTAGGTTTTGTGCAACATTTAACTGGTTTTTCCTTGATTTCTTTCAACCCTACTGCAAATGTGGAATTTAATTAAATGAAAACCTGACATATGAAGTCAATATTCATGATAGTTGTTTGTGAGATCTTGGAAAACAGAGAAATTTTAAATGGTTTTCGGACCACACTTCATTAACATGGATGCTCTTGATGATGGCAGCATGGTGTGGATGGTAAAAATTGTATTGCTGATGAGCACTACTTACCAACCTTTTTCCACGTAAGAACCTTCCTCAAGATTGTACTTTAAAATTTGCTACAACTCTGCTTCTTATGAGTTTCTCATGTATTTCAGATGATTGATCCTGGTGGAATTGCCAACCGGTCGGTTACTCATGTTGATTGGTCTGAAAGGAAGTGGCATCCAAAATCTTACAAGTCTCACGATATTTCTTATGGACTTCTTAAGAATATTACGGTATGCTTATGCTATATCTTGTATTATTCACAGAGCAATTATCTTTTGTCATAACTTTTTTTTCCATGGATATGGCTATTACCACCTGTGCTTAAGAGTCTAGCTCACTTCATACATACCTAGTTCAACTTGCATTGTTCACCTTCTATAGCATGGTCATGGGACTTAAAAGAAATAGTTCTCAGCGATATATTTGTTTTTTTTTTTTTTTTTTGGCCTTTAAATTGAAAGATAACTCTCTCCTCCCAACAATGTGAGTGAATTGTCACCTGGAGAAACTTGTGTCGGATATCTCAGTGAAAGTGATTCTATTTTGGTCATTTGTATACTAGTAATATTAGCTGTCATACAGTTTCCTAAATTTTTTGCTAATTTCTGATGTTGTAAATTGTACCTGCAGTCAGTCGATACGAGTGAGCATGTAACAAGTGATGACCAGGTATACACTTTGTTAGAAATTTCTGGTTTTCGCTGTCATATATATGATTAGGTTATATCTGAAGATAGTTTTGTGTCGCTTCTCTCTGTACAGAGGACAGTGCTGTTGCGGCCTTGCCTATGGAATGGTATCCGACGGCCATGTTACTTATTCGCCAGGAAATTCTACCCAGATACCCTCAATAACTTGTTAAACCTTTTCACCAATTATACGACACTATGAGAAATATTTTTGACTCTTATATTCTTTGGTCGGTTGCTTTCGACCCCTTCTCTCTCCATCTTGGCTCTCCATTTCAAAGTTGTAAATTGCCACATTATTATTGAGGTTGGAATGTTCCCTTTCCACAATTCTTAAGTGCAAGGGGCAACATGGAGAGCTATTAGAATTGACTTGAGTTTTTCAGGCTGGAGGCTAACTTAGTGTTGCTTCCTTGGGGCTGGGTAATTTGTTGTCCATTTTTTCTTTTTTCTTCCTTTAACCTCCATTTGGGCTGTTAATGTTGTATTTCCTGGACAGAAAGTTCTGGGGGATGTTTTTCGTTGTAATTTATGTTGAATTTTTGTAAAACTTAAAACATATGAAGTTGCAAACGAGTTAAAAGCGCACCTTTCTTTTCTAAAATATTAGGTTTCCAAGTCAAAATTCACATTTCATTGTTTGAAACTTTATTTTCATCATTTTTTATTTCCCTTCTTCATCAAACCTAAAATGGTGTTGAGTTAAAGATCTAATTACATTATTCGTCCTTAGAAAGTATTATTTATCTTCATTAAAAATGTCGAATTAAATTAAATGATATTTTTCATGGTTTCATTGATTTGTTAATGAAAATATAATTATTAATAAAAAGAAATTTAATTATGGAGTTGTTAACTTCTTGTCATAGACTTCTTTAAAAGATCTTTTAACTTATTGATGTCTAATTTTTTTATTTTTTTTTTATTTTTAAAGTTTAATAGATTTCTTGAGAGATCAATTTAGTTATAAAAAATGACCACCTAAAATTGTCATAATGGCCTTCAAATGTATTTAAAATATAATTAATATAGGAGATTTGTAATACTTGTGAAAGAATAATACTAAATATAAAAAGACTTTATACAAAATCTTGCATACAAAGTGATAAACAGTATTCTTGCATTGTCATATTATTCATCATAATTTAACAGTATTCTTGCATAGAGCTGTGCTGGCCCACGACATGAAAATATGCGGGTTGTGCCGTGGGCTTTAAAAAAGGCACGTAGGCCAACATGACACGACGTGAAAAAAATAAAAATTAAAAAAATTAAAAAAATGTGTTGTTGAAGATATATTTGAAGATTTGAAGATTTTGGAAATGAATGAAAATAAAGATGTATAATCATTCCTAATCCTAATTTCTAAGTTTATATTTATAATTATAACTTATAACTAATAAAAAGTGTTGAAATTCAATTAATATTTCAATGTTTCATTATTTTATTATATTTCATAGTGATTATATATGTTTTAAATTAATATAAATGTAAAATGTCACTAAATATAAAATATTTTTATAATAATTATTAATAATAAATCAAAATTACCGTAATTTATATATATTAAAATTAAATATTTTTACAAAGCATGTGGGCCGTGCCATGGCATGACCCAAGGCTTGGCACAATATATAGTGGGCTGTGCTGTGGACCTTCAAATTTGATGGGCCGACATAGCACGACAAGGCATGAATTTTTGTGGGCCTTGGCATGGCACGACCCTAGGCATGACACGGCCCACCATCGCCTCTATTCTTGCATTGTCATATTATTCATCATAATTTAATATGCAATTATTACCTTGATTTTTTATATTAATTTACCAATTATGTTCTAACAAATCACTTGCAAGGTTTTATATAGACTTTTTGCAAGTGAAGTATTATTCCTTTTGAAAAAGATAATTACTTTAAACCCTCAAGGGTTGGTCAGAACTATTGAAGTGAAGACTAAAACAATGCAGTTTTGGAGATTAATGAAACGCTACATTTTTGGTATTAATCTGTGTTGGATCTTGGTTGTTGATCCAACTCTGATCTGACAGCTGAGATGCTTCATGGAGTCAACGATATAAAAGGGCAATGTACAATCATTATTCACTCATATGTTTTGTCTCTGTTGAAGAACATTGCATTCTCATTTTTCTCTCTGTTAGGGTTTCAGTTGATTTGGGGAAATCTTTGTAACTTGGGTTGATTGGGTAATTTGTTAGTCAATCAGGAGGGCTCTTTGCTCTTGTTCTTAGGGATTCTTGGTGAGTGTCTCTAGGATTTTTTTATGGTGTGGATTTCTTGTAATCATTGAGAGTTTGATTGGGTTTGTAGTTGTTCTTGTTTAGATCTTGATCTAATAAGTAGTGCAACAAGCTCTCCCATTTTTGGAGCTCAACGTGGACATAGCTTATCCAATTTAGATAACTGAACCACGATAAATCAGTGTTGTGGTTGTTCTTGATTTTCTTGTGGTTTGTATGCTTGATTGGTTTGTGTGTTTTGGTTAATTAGTTATAATAGTGGTATCAAAGCTAATAGGTGTTAGGATTGATCGATTTGGTGAATAATACAACAATCCAGGGTTTTTAGAAATTTCAAGGGTTTATCGAAATTTGGGGCTTTTCAAATTAAGTCATTTATTAGTGATCTAGAGTCTTAGGAGTATAGATTTGAGGTGTTAAATCATCAATTCGGGACGTTCTTGGAAAAATTAGGGTTCTTTACTTGGTAATCTTTTAAGGAATCCTTTAACTGCTCCTGTATAGGGTTTCAATTAGGGCTTCTTGAAACAAAGACAAAATTAAACACAAACACTTACAATATGTCAACAGCACTACTGGAAATCACACAATACGATGGAAAGATTGACTTTGGCAGTTGGAAGAAGAAGATGAAGGTGCTACTTTCCCACAACAAAATGGGGATTGCTCTGGAGAAGGACGTAACCAAGTGGCCAGAGGAGAAATTGAAAAAGAAGGATGAGATCAATGAGGAGGCATACAATCTCATAGTGGTGAACCTATTTGATAACATCCTATGGAAGGTAGATGGGCTAGAAACTCCTCTAGCCTTATGGGGTAAACTTGAAACTTTGTACTTATTACAGTCGGCACCCAATCTTGCATTTTTAAAGGGTGCCTTATTTTCATACAAAATGGATAGTACTAAGTCCATTGAGGACAATCTTGATGAGTTTCTAAAGATGACCCTAATCCTTAAAGGAATTGACCAAGAATTAGGGGATACCAGTCTAGCAATGATCTTATTGAATTTGTTGACTGAGGAATACCAAGTAATCAAGAATGCTTTACAATATTCAGGAATAGTACCTAGCCTAGACTTGATTGTAGCTAGACTTAAAGCTAGGGAATTAGAGTTAAAAGTCTAGAAAAGGTCTGGTAGTAATTTGTTTGTAAAAAAGTAGGCCTAAATCCAGTCAAGTAGGAAAGAATAATCAGTATTAGCAAGGGTCTAGGAACAAGAAAAGGGGAAAGGGTAATAACAAAGCAAAAACTGAATCAAGAAAGTGTTTTTTCTGTAACAAAGCTGGCCACATTAAGAAAATTTGTTTTGAATGGTTAAAGAAACATAAACAGGGAAATACTGAGAGTAATTTGGTCTCTAGTAAAAACCAATTGGATGAACTTGAGGTCTTGACAGTGTCAACATCTGACACTGCCAAGGAGTGGGTCTTGGACTCAGGTTGTTCCTTTCATATGAGCCCACACAAGAACTGGTTTTAGGACCTAGAAACACATGAAAATGAGACTGTCTACATGGGAAACAATCAAGCCTGTAGTGTTAAGGGTATAGGCAGTGTAACCTTTAGACTAACTAATGGAAAACTTGTAAAACTAACCAAAGTTAGGTATATCCCTGATTTAAAAAGAAATCTCGTCTTTGTAGGGACCTTAGATGAGGCTGGATGTACATATAAGGCAAGTAATGGTTGTTTGAATGTGTATAAAAACTAGAACCTGATTCTTAAAGGGGAAAAGAGAAATGGTCTTTACATTCTATGTGGTGATGTTGATCCTGAATGTTTTAATGCTACCCTGCTTTCTAACAAAATGTCTATAACTAAAAAATGGAACCCTAGGTTAGGGCATATGAGTCAAAAGGGTATGAATATCCTTAACAGTAAGGGGGTATTAGGTAAGGATTCAATCTTAAACCTAGAATTCTGTGAAAACTGTGTGTTAGGAAAACAACATAGACTGAGTTTCTCAAAGGGAACTCACCTAGCGACAAACTGCCTTGAATACCTACATTCTAATCTTTGGAGGCTTGAAAAAGTCAAATCCCATGGTGGGAACAATTAATTTCTATCAATAGTAGATGACTATAGTAGAAAAGTCTGGACCTTTCTCCTGAAAACCAAAGATCAAGCCTTAGCCAAGTTTAAGGAGTGGAAAGTGTTAGTTGAGAACCAGCTAGGTAAGAAAGTAAAAGCCCTAAGAATAGATAATGGGTTAGAGTTCTGTAATGCTAAGTTTGATAATTTCTGTAGAAAGCATGGTATTTTAAGGCATAGAACTATTGCTAGGACCCCTCAACAGAATAGGGTGGCAGAAAGAATGAATATAACTTTACTTGAAAAGGTTAGGTGCCTACTGTTCACCTCAGGACTACTAAACACATTTTGGGGGGAAGCTTTAGCCACTACAACCTACTTAGTAAAAAGAAGCCCATCCACTGCCATTAATGGGAAGTGTCCTGAAAAAATCTGGTTTGGAAGGAAATTGGACTTAAGCCACCTAAGAATTTTTGGGTGTGCAGCTTATGCATACTTAGATCCACCAAATGCATAGTCCTAGGATATCAAGAAGGCACAAAGGGATATAGATTGTGGGATAGGGAAACTCTAGGGGTAAAAATTATAGTCAGGCGAGATGTGGTGTTTAATAAGAGTGAATTCCCTTGTAAAGCCATTGCCACTGACCAAGGAACACCTAGAAATACTGAGACATCATCCATCCCCATTGAAAGTACACAAATTGAGGTGGAGCCTACCATACACCAACCTAACCCCATCCAACCGGATTTTGACCTCAAACTGAAAGAGAAATAGATCAACTAGAACCTAAACAGCTAGAAGAAAAAGCTGTAAAAGAAATCTCAGAACCTCAAATAGTTGATTTACAACAGTACCAACTAGCAAGAGACAGAACCAAAAGAGAGGTAAGGCCACCTGCACGATATTCTTATGTAGATTTAATCTTTACAGTTTTTCTTGCAAGTATAGAAGTCCAAAGGATATAACCCTGAAACATATGAAGAGGCATGAAGTCTAAAGACAAAGACAAGTAGAAAGCAACAATACGGGAAGAGATGCACTCATTAGAGGTAAACAAAACTTGGTCCTTGGTACCTAAATCCAAAGATAAGAAACTTATACAATATGAATGACTTTATAAGATAAAAGATGGAATTATAGCCTCTGATTCCCCTAGGTATAAAGC